ACAGGAACTGGTAAAAGATACCCTTTGTTCTAGTACAACAAGCCAGCTTCTATTTAATGTTAAGCAGTATTGTTACCTAACCTAAGTAACGATTTATAACCGGAACAATATTTCGGGATTTCAGTTGATGTTTCATGAGTATGGCCGCCTACTCGACGGTGGGATGTTTAGACTCGCTCGTTATATCTCTTCTTTCATTTGTTTTAATACAAGAAGTTCCTTCCTATGGATGTAGTGACAGGGGTTTTATATAATCGATCACGCAGTGCTGCCTACTAAGGTTATGCCAACGCTTAAACACCCTAGTGACAGCTTGACCCTGGAATACACAGAGTAGAAATAACCTCCCACCTTCTGTTAAACTCCAGGAGAGGTACCTATGTCCGTACTCTAAATCCAGCCCATACCCTAACTCTAGTCTCCCTGGAATTTAGCGCTAGCCTACCTCTGTTCCTGAGGAGTTCCTATTCTCGTGTTCCACCTTTAACCCTGTCGCGCGTGCATACGCATAAGAATATGCGCACTCTAACTACATGGAACAACCGAATTCCAATTACCTTCATGTTAAACCCTTCAGGTCACAATACCTCGACTGCAGCAACAACTCGCTCATGAAATTTTGGGAGGACAGCCGCCGGCCACACATGCGGCTATCGCTGAGGCACAAGAAACGGAAAAGGAGGAAGAGTAATCGGTCGCGAGACATCCTGCACGTCCGGTCTTCCATCGTTGACCACCCTGTTTGCCATGCTTTACTTGATTTGGCCCGGCTATGTGTACCAATGTATAAATACGAACTCTATTCGATCACCTCTGTCTTGCATTGAGAAGAAACCAATAGTCCCCATCTATTGTGTTCAGGCCTGTTCGACATGGAATGTTAACCGTTGATATAACATCAACAGGTGAAGACGCAATAGCATCCCTGAACCAAGTTCGCATGCTGTGCGCTGAGACAGAGTACATCAACGAAAGATATTCCCTAAAGTTTCTGCTGTAGAGTAAACAGTAGACTATGTACAGCGTCACGCGATTGGCACTGCTGTTTTGCCATGAACTCAACGAAGGTGCACATTGGTTTTCTGCTGTTTTACGGAGTTGCTGGGGCTTCGACTTGACAGTATGTTCTAAAACAACCGCGGCTGCGAATGCAGCCGGAGCATTATAAATGAACTCGTAGTTATTTAATCAGGACTGGTTAGGCCCAGCCCAAGTATTTGTACAAATGTTTGAGTTGAATAACATGACATTGACGGAATACTGGGTAGTACTCAAAAGCTTAGAACTGTCATTTAGCAGTGTAAAAAGCATGTGCGAAAAAGTGCTTGCACAGACTCCCAAAATAGGTACCACCTGGAAGTTCAGGGAGGTGTAGCGGTGGTGTTCCGTAGCTTTTCAACTGGCGGATTCAGCAGTTCTCCGGAAAACGGTTAGACCTGCTCATAAATTAAGTGGGACTGCGTCTCACCAGGCCTGCGGCGTTACTGACGCGTACCGCTTGTGGGCGAGCCATGCACCCGTGCCCGGTCATGGGAAACTTACTGCCCGTCCTCATTGCCTACGGTTATTCCTATTACTCGGATGATTACACGACGAGTTTGACTTTCACGTGAGCCAAATCTTTTGTCGTGTGGCCATAAAAAGCCGGGTGTGTGGGCATCATTCCGACCTACCACTTGGACTGCGTTGGAGTGGAAGGCACGCTGGAGCTGAGTGATTTGTGTCGCTGAATAGGATTTTGCGTATAGCGTTAGCACTTACGCTTGATTCCTGCCTGCAGGCACCAGGGGTTACATACCCTTGCTGCAATACTCGTCTGGTTTCCTCAAAATAATTGTGTTAATAGCAGAACATGACATAGGAGGACGACCGCGGGCTATTGTTAACTAGGAGAGCGATCATTTGAGTCCACAAAATGTCGGATTAGAGACAGCCTTGCGAGCTAGCCCTAATCTGAACGTAATAAATGATCCAGAACCTCATGATGGTGCAAAATGGACGGCCATAGTTCGGACAGACCATTTTCAAAACTATCCTCCATCCGAGGCCCTCGATTCCTGCAGGAAATAGTCCTGATTATAGGTAGGCTCGGAGAAGATCGAGGAGGGGATCTATCTCCTGCTGTTTGACACGGTGTCGAAAAAATTCTCTGGACAATATAGGACACCTTTTATGCTTTAATGGGTAGTTGGTTTGCGAGTTTTATGAATTACACAATTAGGCCCGTCCAGTTCGATGTGCTGAGTGGCTTGGTGCATGAAGTAGTTACTCCACTCTGGCCCACATGGGTGCCCACCTCATATTTAGTTCCAATGAGCTGCGTGGTCCACAGTGGCCATACCCAGAAAACTTTCCTAATCGGTCCAAAAACAGGATAAGTGTAGACAGCTTGGTGCTTCATGGCTGATTAATTTCTCTGGTAGGCCCGATTCGATTACTAGAGAGGGACCAACCGTACTGTGACCTGCGTAGATGAAACGAGCTGTCAAGATGAGCACTGTGCGCTGCCTCGCGAACAGTCTTTTTAACCTAATTCTGCCATTGAATCACTGAGCGCATATGAAAGGAGAGTGCAGCCGTGAATGTGTAAATACTCCTCAATGTGACTCAACTCGGCTGCGAGTCATTTCCACTCCATTCACTTAATAGCTTTAAAGCCCGTACCAAGAGTTGTGCATGCTCCTACAGGCAGCCGTAACCAATTCGCGTCATTCTTACGGCAATTAAGTTTGTTAAGTTGGAATCCGGTTGCCACCTAGGGGACGCAATTCAACCCTCGCGTCCAAGGTCCCAGAAGAGATGCCGTGACCGACTGTAACTGTCGGACTGCTTGTCGGAGCAACGATGGGTCGACAGCAGGAGGGTTTCCAACTCACATGTCAGGGAACATAGATTAGGTTGAATAAGTCTTACTAAGGCTAAAGAGCGTGCAAGTGGCTCAGCAACTGTTACAGAAAGTCGTCTCTTCAAGCCAGTGTATGGGAGGTTGTTGGCTCCCCCCGGTGCATGCAACTAATGAGGGAAGGAGGCAGCGTTCATTAGTCTCGATTTCTTGACAGGTTAGTTTTAAGCCCTGTGCATCACAAGCTGCAAACTGACAGGGGGTGTGGGGCGGACAGATTTGCAGCATGAGTAGGCAGTCGCGTCGGCAACTATAGGAGCAGGCTGACACGAGCTTCTCTCCCGCAGAGTATGTTTCCCGGACTGTCTAGATATCACGCCACATGGGCGCGACCGGGGTCGTGTTCCCCAGTTCAGACAAACCTTGGTGCTGATTGGCCACCCTTCAGTCTATGACATCCCCCCACTGTCATATACCTTACCGTTTCTACAAGGCTCTCCACTTGTGTTGTCTTCCATACCCAGTGCAGGTCCCGTCTACAATTAACCTGTTTTGCATAAATAAAATCTGCCAGGCTCTGTACTCGGACCAGAACTATTTTTAATTTATGTTAACGACTGTATGAATGGACTGGACTGCAATGGAATCATGTTTGCCAATGACATCAAGTTATGGCGAGCGATCAATGGTGAACGGGCCCTGCAAGAAGAACTGAACCGCCCATGCGAATGGTCTGACAAATGGCTGCTGAAGTTTAACCACGAGAAGTGCGTCGCGCTGCGACTCAAAATGACTGGAAGGGCCGATGGAGAGGATCAGCATTACTTGCTTGGTGGAAGGTGCGTTTCAAAGGAAACCGACCAAAAAGATCTTGGGATCAACATTTTGTCTACTCCTAAACCTTCCTCTCAGTGCGTTAGGGCGGCCAAAAGGGCAGCCAGTGTTCACTTTGCAATTAAACGAACTTTCATAGACATAGACAAGGAGTAATTTGGAAAAGTATACGGAGCGTACATTCGTTCGCATCTGGAATACGGAATCCAAACGTGGCGTCCGTAGCTAAAAAAGACTATAAGTTGCTAGAAAGAGTCCAGAGGAGGGCAACAAAAGTTGTGAAAGGCCTCAGAACTTAACCTTACAACTGCAGACTTGGTGAACTTAGACTATTTCCTCTTGAGTACAGGCAGATTCGAGGGGAACTCACACAGGAGTATCGGATATTGAGGAACCGGGACTGTGCCCTTAACCTCGACGATTTTTTCACCCTGGCCACAACAACAAACCTGCGTGGGAACTGTCTAAAACGTAGAAGATACCGATGCCGCCTGGACGTTCGCAGATACTCTTTTTTCACAGAGAGTTGTCGGCGCCTGGAACGGGCTTCCCTAGGACGTAATAATGGCGGATACCACAGAGACATTAAAGCAAAGACTAGATGTATATTTGCTTGGAAAATACCGCTTGTCTGAACAGAACCGCTATGTGGTGACAAACCAACGCCTTGCATACACCTACCGCTAATGCGGATGGCTGTCACTTCTTTTTACCGAGATAATCTGCAACCGAATGTTCTCGAGTTTCGGTCCCGCATTTTAAAAGAAAAATGTTCCGTTAAGCGTATATATTACTGACAACATTTTAGCACCATGTTTATTTAAAGGTAGATATTGCATGTACTCTTTTCAATAGGTTTTTTAAAGGCATCGCCCATTACCCTTAAAATATACTGACCTATAACCTACATTTTAGTAGTTGATACAAGGACGAACGGCGTAATTCTGGATTTGCGTTCGTCATCGACACTGTTTCAACTAACAGACATTTAGCCCTTTTAAGCAGAATCAGGGTTGGATTAACTTTACTGAGATCATTACACACCAGGAGGGGATACGTCACAGTTGCCAGCATGGATTCCAAGTGTCATCAATCGGGGTAAAAGGAACGGCACCGTCTGATTATTTTTGTGACTTTGTCGCGGCGAACAGTCCCTTACTGCGTAGAGATTTCAGTGTGCGAGAAGGCACATAATTGCGCTAGGAAAGGCGTGACTTATCTTGTCGGCAGCAAAATTTGCAATAACGTCTGATGTCTTCTGCCAAAGGCCTGCACGGAACACGACACCTTGCATACGGTCATCGTATCTCGCCTACGCAACAGTATGATGAATAGACAGGTGCCCCACTCTCACTTCAAAAACAAAACTCTACTGCGCACTTGTTGGGAGGAGGAGGATGAGGAGGAGGTGGAGGAGGAGGAGGAGGAGGAGGAGGAGGAGGAAGAGATGATGATGATGATGATTATGTGCGGTGTCAAGTGGTATACGGGCCGCCTCGCGATCAACCCAAAGAGGATAATGCGGAGGTAACTGAGGAAACGACCTTGAGTTAAATAACTGACAGATAAAACGACCACCGCAATGTTATGTGCCATTTCAATCCTAAAGGAAGTGAGCTGCACTATGGACAACCTGAAACAGCGGCCAATAGGGGAAAGCCTATTGAGCAAAATTGAAGAGGGTCGCGAGATGCGACCAACACAACTTTAACGGGGATTCTGTGGCTTTCATTAAAAGGCGGGAAGAGAACATCAAGATGAGTGTCAAGGTCAGTCGCGGAAACGCGTTTGAAAAGAATCAGTTGCACAGAGTCTCCGGGAAAAAACTCTTCTCAGCCATTGCAGAAAATTCCAATCGCCTGAATGATTGGTGGGATAGAGGACAAACGTGTTTACGGAGCCGACGGGAAATTTCAGAACGCTTCGGAGGCCAACCTTTTGGTCAAAGATTAAAAGCCCACCAAAATCCGGTAATGTGCAACTCTGATGGGTAATCATTGAAGACGAAGAAGCAAGATAAACAGCACAAATAATCTTGGCTCGGTTATGTTTGGTCGTGTAGCCCCACCAGCGGTAGGAAGGCCCTAGGCGCCTGCAAAACGGGAATGGTGGCAATAGGGGTTTTATGGGTATGGCCTTAGGACAGGCCAACGGCAATGCGGAAATGTAAAAAGGCAAAGGCAGTCATAGTCGGACATGTGAAGGCAGTTTAAAGGAGGTGAAATTCGAATACTTAGTATAAAACTTAAAAGGTTATGTTGAACAATTCGCGGAAACAGTTCGGATGTACGGTACAAGGAAAAAATGAAACGGGGAACGCATTGCTAAGGTCGATCCGCAAAGTGTTCAAAGAAAGTGGTGGGCGATCGTGACGAGGACGCAGAACAAAGCGAAGAAACGGTCACGAGAAGCAGTAACGCAACTGAAGTGACGTAAGTGTGTCGTGGAATTTTTAATTTAAAAGAGGGGAACCCAAAATGAAGGAGTAGCCCATGAAACCGTGAAGTCAGTTGTTGAACGGGACTGAGAGTGCTAATTGATTGCGCAGTCCCGAGGGTTTGAAAAATGGATGCATGCAATCGGATGAATAAATATTTTTAAATATTTCATTTGCAGACCATAAGTGAGCAAACCGAGCACAATGTGGGAACGCGGTTGGACAAAGCCGCGAAGGTTACCAAAGTGCAAGAGGCAATCAATTCACCTCACAGAATACAGCATTTGCAACAAGAAGGACTGCCGAAATCGAGGGTACTATGCCAATGACGCGGACCAATTACGCTGCAAGTATTGCGACAGCATACGGATGGTTGTATGTCAAAGTATGCCAGTATACCCAAGTGGGCATGGCTTTAGATGCTGTCGATTCAGAACAAGCATTTCTAAACTGCGACTATGGACACATTTTACGGGTTCTTGAATGAACGCAGTAGAAGAACCCAACACGACGTGAACTGATCACCTTCTTAAAAAGTTTGGAATGGAATCATCTGAACGATTGGGATTAAGATAAAAGAACTGTTTTACGCTAGATAACCTATTTTCAAAATAGACCGAGATACCGATTTGGGCTGGTGCGGTTTTTGACAAAAGCAGGTTGACATTAATGAAGGTAATGCATACCTGCCGGACTTTTTCCGAAGGTGCTGCGGTGATTAAGTGTGCGACTTCCTTTAGCATAAACCGCACAACAACAGTAAAATAGTACAGCACCCGGCAGGGTGCGTGCTCGAAAACACTCATGGACAAGGTGAAGTAAATTGGGAGGAACTTTCCTCAGGCACAGAGCAAAATCGTTTCATGCTAATGGCGCTCAACAAACACTGCCGCAAACGTCTCGGCAAGCAGACCCGTAAGATGATATATGACTCGGATAGTGAAAACGTGATGAATATGCTGCAGAAAGGCAGCGCGTGGGAACGGATATCCTGCGTCTTTCGTAAGCCCGGCCCATTTACATCACTAAGCAACTTCACATCGGGAGGTTGTGTGGTACATGTAATTCATTAGTAAAATTTTGCTGAATATGTCAAGGACACTCTTTCTAAGGGAAACGCGCGCAGATCACCCCGCCGAAGCACCTCGGTGACGTAACCTGGCCGTACGCACTCACTGAAGTGTGATCGGAAAGGGGTAAAGCCGTTGCCACCAGTAGCCTAGCCACTCGCTGGATTAGGAAGGAACGTGACAGCATGGCCAACTGGAAGCCAAGTCCAAGTCCCAACTTTGCCTACTCAAAATCGATTAACTGTACGCATGTCTCCGCGCCCCGTCCTTCTCTTCCCCCTTGTGACACGGCTCTACCTAACCCTCGCTGACTTACTGCTTCCTCTCCCCTACCTTCTCTCACCTCCATTCACATAGCCCGTTTGCATGAAAAGACGAGCCTTAATCGACTGCTCTTATCACTGACAGGTTTCTCTTTGCACATAGTTCCCATATTAATGTACAGGTTAGATGAGAATTTATGGAAAGCACGCGTATGCTCGTCATATGCTCTCCTGAATTACCCAATGGGAATTTTCGCAACTTTACATACTCAAAAATAATTAAATAGGTTGACCGTATGTCGTTCGTCGGGCGCGGCTGCGGGATCAAACCTTACCATTGGCCCTATCGAACTATGCACAAAAGTCGATCTTCAGTATGCTTGGAGGCGATTAATCCTACACTTACACGCTCGCTGATACTAGATAAGGCATACAGGATTTGGTGACGAAAGTGCTGATCGAGATGGTTTCGATACACCGAGGTGAACCAATACAAGTACAGCAAGTATAGTTGTGCACATATGTTGTTGGGGGATACGATGAGAATGTGGGTACGTTAGAACGTTAAGCGACCTCGTCAGTGGTTCTGTGTGCCTGGTCTACGATCCTGATCTACCGGAGTGCTTTCTATACTCCGAAGACATGTTTGGTTTCAAAGACCCGAGATACTATGTAGTTGTTTATTGCGCTGCCTTCAGAAATTGTGCTTACAAAGTAGACAGTATCTTCCACAGCGCTATGACCATTATATATGATGGGCGTCACTGGTGATTTCTCCGGACTCAAGTTACTGGGAGAGACCATTGGCGCAGTATGCTGGCTAGTTGGCGTCAGCTCGCAAATTGTGATTGCTTTATTCATGTCCCTTTAGTGGCTCAATGAGATTTAGGCTGAGCTGAATGGTTGATTCCTTGTTGAACTTTAGGGAGCAGTGGCCGGTAAGAAGGCCTTTGGTACTGTATTAGATAAGTTGGTACAGGTACACAGTCTATACCTTCTGAAGAATTTCCTGTCAGTTCGGTAGCTGATGTACATACCAGGATGTTGGCGAGAGTTTAGAGAGTAAGAGCCAAGCAGGGTTAGCTTGAGCAAGTAATGACTTTTTGTCAGTAATACTGGCATGCTCGTCCCACCCTGGGCATTAAGTTTCCTGAATTTATTAATTACTCTCTAGAGTCCGCAGTTTGTCTGAAATCATTAGAAACTTCACAAGATTCGCGGATGAATTTCGGAGTCGTTCCATAAAGAGCCTTTTTAAACGCTAAGTTGTAACGAGATCGGCTACATACAGATCCAGAGAACGCTGCTAATTTATGGTAGTTCATTCAAGACAGTATGGGGCCGAGCTGCACGGTTGTGTACTGACTAAAAATCGTTTTGCTTTAGTGTGCTAAAATACATCCGTAAACCTATGCACAACTTTCAATAACAATTTGACGTCAAGGTGTATCCTCGGGGCTGATGTGTATCGTCTTATTTGACTGATGTATATAACCTGTGAAAATTGATCTCTTGCGTCCAAGGATAGAAAGATACATATCCAACAGGTGCATCAATTTGAACAAAAACGACATACAAGGGCACAATGCGAACCTCTCCCAAGCACAGAAAATCAGCCCCGAACCTTAAGCAAGACTCATACCGAATCTACAAGTCTGTTGCACTGCTGTAAAGAAGTCATCTTTGAAGAACCTCGCCGACACCTAACAACTGGCAAGGTTTCTTCATTGTCCATTGACACGGACTGAACTGAGACATTTTCAAACCCGCTGCAGTGCCAGCCGGTCCAACCTATCTCTCACGTCACAAAACACCACCGCAACATCACAAATGCCACGAATTTCCTGCGCAATCACAAAATACACGCATAATCACAATCCACATTAACAATGTACACAGTTCAAACTTCTGTCCATTGCGACCGCACATTCGGTCACAAGCGCACTCATAAAAAGCACGAGGATGGAACACAGTTTGGACCCAACAACCTTTCCGTCCTGTGGAGGATGCTGTCGACAGTGATTTCCGGCTCATATTTCAAAATATCAAGTCCAGTCGCTCTTGGGCGTGGTGGAGGTCTTCCGTTCGTTCTTCCAGAACTGTACTGACACCATCTAGCCTCCGACAAGTCCATTTAAGTTCTTAGGGATTCGCTCGAGTTTCCAACGGACGTCATCACCGTCTTTGGAAAGGTGACGATAGTCGTGGCCGACACTACACCTTTGGCACACCCACCTCCTGGTGCAATTACCTGCCTCATTATCGGCATCGGTGATTCGTCAGCAGTAACTGGCAGGTTAAACTTAACTTCCAGTACTTTTTTTTAAAACACCATTGATTAGTAAGGCTCGCAGCGGCATATTTGGACGGAGGCTGCTAACCGTAAAGTACATTCGTCGTTTCCTTTGGAGCATCGACCCATGCACCAAAAACCCCTAACCTTCGTTGTCCGGCCCCATGCTAACAAGGTCGATCCCCGGGCTGGGCTGACCAATACTTCGTCCATGTCCTCCATTGCCCCTCTTTGATTCGCTTGCATAAAATGACGCCGCCCCTGTTTCGCTGGTTAAAAAGACGTTTTCAGCTTCCCAATTCAGACGGCGAAATTCCCAATGGCGTCTCCACCTATTGCCATTGATCTTTTACGCATCCACCCCTTCATTGCATGTCCTGTTTCCCAGCACAGCCTCCTTCATAAAGAGAGAGTCGAGATAAAAACAAGCTGGTCTCTGACAATTTGGTCTGAACTGGCATGAAAAAGGACGGGCTGACATGGACACAAGTACGTCTATGCTGTCAGCTTTGGATGGTTCAGCAAAACATCAAGGTCACATTCACCCAATCCCCAAGCCCCGATGCAAGATCCAGGCAGGTTCAGTCAGTCAGTCAGTTAGTCAGCGTATTTGAGGGAAATAGGCTTACGCCTTTCAACTCCCTATTTGTACATAAAAATCGATACATAACCAAAATGTGAAGAAATTACAGCATTAGATGAATGCAGACATTGATTCACATATGTCACTTGTCTCATGGCTAAAAAGTCACATAATCCGCTTGTTGCTGCAGCATATGTCTGTCAAGCCGGCATTTAAATGTCGCCACAGATTGAGACATGACAACCGTCTCGGACAGGTTATTCCACGGTTCCACGACACGATTGGAGAAGAAATACTTCCTCACATTCAGTCTACCCTGGGGCACACGTAGTTTGAAGGGATGTCCCCGGAGGTTAGTTGTTGTGACGAGTTGGAAAAAGTTATCGCACCGAAGGGCGCAGTCCAAGCCACGCACGATATGGAAAGTTTGTATCAAGTCTCCGCGCAACTGCCTATAACTCAGAGGATAGAGATTGAGGTTAGTTAAGCGAATCTCATATGGCAGTGTACTTTGACCTCTTATTAATTTTGTTGCTCGCCTCTGCACCCTTTCGAGCAGATTGTAATCCTGATGCGTCCACGGTCTCCAGGCCTGAATTGCATATTTGAGATTTGGCCTTACAAAAGTGCCGAAGACTTTGGAGAAGCAATCTTCATCGAAAACTGCGAATGCCCGCTTGATGGCATATGGCATTGAAGTTGCGGCCTTGGCCGCCTTACAGCATTGTGTAGAAAGTTTAAGGGTGTCTGCGACCCAGACCCCGAGGTCTTTCTGAACTTCTGCATCTCTAAGTGTTATTCCGTTCAGATGGTATTGCCGCGTACTAGCAGTCTGATTTCCGAGGCGCAGCATAGTAAATTGGTTCAAATTGAAGGATAAGAGCCATCTGCGGGACTACTCGTCCAATCGACAAAGATTTTCTTGGAAGTTGGTCTCATCGGTAGCATTCTGGATAACTTTCCAGATTTTTATGTCATCCGCAAACATGGTACTATCACAGTCCAACCCATCTACACAATCATTAATGAACAAGAGAAAGAGGGTTGGCCCGAGCACCGAGCCTTGTGGGACTCCACTCTCTATGAATGTGCATCGTGATTGTTGTCTTTCTACGCAGACAATTTTGGAGCGGCCGACGAGGAAGTTTTCGATCCATTTGAGAAGTTTGCCGCCGATGCCCATTATTCTCAACTTGTGCAGGAGACTCTGGTTCGGAAAACTGTCGAACACCTACCGGAAATCAATATAGGCCAGGTTCACAAAGTGTTTTCCGTCCAGTGCTTTTGTCCATCTTTACATTGTATATAGTAAGTTCATTACACATGATCTTCCCCTACGGAAACCATATTTTGCATTGGACAAGAGGTTGTGGCTTTTCAGGTAAGCCATCAACTCCTTTTTGATGATTTTCTACATCACTTTTCAGCAGATTGATGTTAGACTGAAGGGTCTGTAGGTTGTTGCAAGAGCACGACTACCGTTTTTGTGAAGTTATGTAACGTGGGCCGTCTTCCAGTCTGTGGGAAGGATTCCAGCGTCAAACGATTCCTGGCACAGAAAGGATCATCAGAGAGATAGTAATCCCTATCTCCAGCGATGTTCAAAGTAGCCCATCAACGTCCTGGACTGCCTGGACGAGTTTCTGCGGACGTTTTTCACAGTCTTTTGACGACCGTCCGTCTACGAGCCTTGTCTGGAGAACGTCATTCGACTTGCACTCATGTATTCCTTAGTTCTTACCCAGTGCGCCGGTCACTCCAGTTTGCCTATCACAGCCGTTTTCGGGGCTTTAAGATTTTCCGCATCCAGAACTGTAAGAGGAATGGGGGCCGATAGTGTCGACCACCTGAAGACTGCCTTTCCCGACGTTGGTCGGGATATGTTCCACACTCTCCTGCTCCTGCTTTACCAGCTGCCTTGTTCGTTGTCACACCACCTTCCCTGTTACCAACCGCAACTGTATCCTCCTCCGCTAACTCCCTTAAAGCAAAACTCACTCAAATTCCTCATCCGTTTCATCATCTTCTAACTCTCGCCCAAACATCCTCACTCTCCACACAGCTCGTAGTAAATACCATTTTCATCTATCTGAGTGTTTTGTTATTCAAGCCTTATAGCCAATAAAAATTTTTGAGACGCCGTTCGATGTCACTTTTTATTACCCACATGAGGTACTTTTGCAGTTCAAACTCTGTATTCTTCACATCCGCGTAACGAAACCTGAAGATGATCGACTATCCACTTTCACTGACTAACCGAAGACGAGCATAGTTCGGGAGGCTGCTCTTATCGCAGCACCCTAGGCCACGAGTGTGCCATGGCTACCACGACCTTCAGGCCCGGTCTCGAACGGAACGAGAAGTTGTACGCCAGTTGGGAAATGCGTATATCTCATAAAGAGCGGAGGAGTGGGTTGGCGAGAGTTGACAACCGGATGAGGGCATGTCCAGCACCGGGTTGGCGCCGTCCCTCAGTGTCCGGCAGGACATGCGTCATCTTAAGACAGGCTACGCCTTACCCAACTTTGAATCTAGTTGTTCGGTTGGAAAGCCGAGTGAGTGAGTGCTAGACAGCCCTGGTGCGCGCGTGCAGACACTCGTGAGAGGCCCAGCGCTGAGACAGGCGAACAGAGTAGGACCTTTACACTCTCACTTCGTGCTCTCAGGACAACGACTGCGGTTGGTGCTGGTGGCTAAGGCGAACATTGTTCTACCAATTCTGCCTCCCCGTCTTCTGAACTGACGAACTCGTTGGTGTCGACCATCACAGTCCGAAAGGGTTAACCCCAAGATCTCGCAAAACCATTCATGAAGATTGTTTCCTGACAACGGTTGTTCCTGAAGGAAGAAAGAGCTTTGAAACTTTACATCAGGGGGTGTTTCCTCTGCAGAACTGCAAAACAACCGAAAGATTAAAAATAAGAGAACCAACTGTGAATTTAGGGGAAGCTTGACCAAAGGGAGACGCTGGAAATCAGATATCTTCAACCAGTTCAGAACAACGGTTTTTTTCTGTGGCCGAAACAGGTCACGATGAATACTGTACTTAACTATACAGAATAGTCTCAGCTCCCGCTGCTGCGTATGCTACGGTAAGGCACGGGGATAAGGAACTGTATTCAGAAATCGTATCCACTTACTTTATGTTGGCACCCTGATATACGCTGGCAATAAAATCTGGGAGTTTTCTACCAAAAATTTAGTTGCAAAGGTTTTGGCTATTGCTTGCCTATCACGGCTCGCCCAACATTCTTCATAACACTCTACTTATTCAATAACTGTGAATTAAGTATTATACAAACTCTGTGTACCTCGTCTAAAATTCTAAAATAAATGTAAAATTTATTCTTACTTGCTATGATAGAGCACCCACGAGTCATGAATGAACATTATTATTATAATAATAATTATTATTATTATTACGGTAAAACGGAGGGATACCCACGAGACTCGTTCGTGGCTCACCACTTTCCCAAAAACTTTCACTTTGGAAGTTTTCGATAGTATTATTTTTTTCATCGAAAGTATCGTATGCTAAAGGACATATGGCTGGCGAAAGCAAAACAGGTTTCTTGCTATACATGGGAAAATTTATAATTTTCACTGTTCATCTGGCAGCTCAGGCAGGCCATTTCTGTCCCCATTGTGTCATTTTACCAACCGACTCACCGCTAACTTTGTCTGGATGGTGCCCTGGACGCCCAGAGCACAGAGCAATGATGCCAGCACTTGACCCCTGCCATTGTGTTCACGCTGCCAACGACGTTTCGAGCACGGTTCATCGTCTTCGGACATCTGCGGATCCAGTGCAATGTCAGCCCGACCAACCTTTTTTCAGTTTCAGTTTATTTGAGGGAAATATAGGCGTTGAACCTTTGAACTCCCTATTTGTTACAAGAAAGCAAACTGTATGAAAAATTTGAAAATGGAACTATCAAGCAGCTACAGAGTTTCTTCAGATTGGTTAAGTTCTCGAAACCAAACAGATAAACAAATCGTTCCAAGAGTTAAAAACATTAACGTTACTAAATGTGCTGTACAGTAGTCTGTCTATGGATAATTGGTGTTATCTCAGTTTCAGAGGGAGACGAAGTAAATGCCAACACACATCCCACAGACGTGGGAAAATAAAAAACAAACGTTACTGAAATACAGGCAGTAATATAACAACATTAATGAATTGTTCGAACGAAATGTTAGACGATGTCGGTCAGGTGACATTATGACGTTTAGTGGTACACTGGTTCAACTTGCGCTCAAAAGCCTCGACGAACGTGGACATGACGACATCTGCAGGCAGGTCATTCCAAGCCTCGAGCACTCTGTTTGAAAATAAGAACTTCCGAATGTCCATTTGGGCGCTAGTCACACGCAGTTTAAGTGGATGACCTCGGAGGTTCATATTGGTCGCTAACTCAGAGAAATCAGCAGGTAGGAGACAGCAGTCCTGGCCGCGCAGTATACGGAATATTTGTACAAGATCGCCTCTTACCTGTCTGCAAATCAGTGGAAAAATGCCGAGATTGGACAGTCGTGTTTCATAGGGCAGTGAACCTTGCGTACTTACGATTTTGGTTGCCCGCCTTTGAACTTTCTCAAGGATGCTGATATCATTAGAGGTCCAGGGTTTCTACGCCTGAATAACGAACTCTAGCTGCGGCCGTACAAATGTCCGAAAGAATTTAACGAAGCAGTCCTCATCGAAGGTATGGAAAGCTCTTTTGACAAGATAAAAGACTGACAGCGTGGACTTGGCTACCTTGGAGCAGTGGGCCGACGGTTTAAGAGAAGCCGTTATTCACACACCCAAGTCTTTCTGGGCATCTACCTCCTGCCATAGTACGAAATTAAGTCGCAAACCCTCCGGCTCAGTGATCGGGTCTTGCCGACTCGCTAAACATTGCACTTAGTCACATTAAACGGCAAAAGTCAGTCCTGTGACCATCTCTCGAGTCGCGTTAGGTCTGCCTGCAAGCGCTCTTCGTAAAATTCAGTTCGGATGATGCTCCAAAGTTTAACATCATCAGCAAACATGGTGACATCACAATTCAGTTCACTCACGCAGTCGTTGACTTATGTAATGAACAGGGCAGGGCCAAGAACGGAGCCTTGAGGAACACCGCTTTCAACCACTGCCTTTGCTTACTGCCCGTCGCCGAAATGGACGATTTAAGAGCGACCTATCAAGAAACTTCGTATCCACCTCAGGAGATTACCCCTTATGCCTGTTCGGCTTAATTTGCACAGGAGACGCTGATGTGGTACACTGTCGAATACTTTCTTATAGTCGACGTAGACTGCGTGCACCGCATTGTCGTCATTGACTGCCCGGGTCCAGCGATCTAAACAATAAAGTATGTTTTTCACGCAGGATCTGCCTCTAAGAAATCCGTACTGGTCATCGCATAGCAGATTATGCTCTTCTTGAATGTGCATTGTTTCTCGCTTAATTATTTTTTTCCATAATTTTGCAGCAAATTGAAGTAAGGCTGATTGGTCTCTAGTTGTTTGCTATGACCTTGCTACCGCCTTTATGAATTGGTGTGATCCGCGCGGATTTTCAACCGGCGGACAAATAGCCTGCTTCGAACGAAGCTTGGAAGAGCAAGGATAGCGGTTAAGCTAGTTCTCCAGCAAGCTCTTTCAACAATTTCGGCAGTATCTCATCCGGCCCAGGTGATTTATACTCATTCGGCTTCAGCAGTTTTTTGCGAACAATAGCTTCGGCGAAAGAGACGTGCTCAATCGTTGACCCCTCCACTATGTCGCAGTCAGGCTGAAAAATGCGCTTTCCTTCGTAAAGATGGACTTAAAAATTGTGAAAAGTGCTCTGCCTTTTCTTCGTCATCACTGAGTTCTAGGTCGTCACTAGTTTTCAATGACGGGATTGGGTCTCCGTTCCATGTGCTTCCTCTTATATAACCATAGAATAACTTCGGATTTTCTGCGGCTCGATTCAGTAGGTCTTTCTCGAAAGTACGCCGCATCCCGAGGATTAGCCTCCTAACTAGGTTCCTCTGTGCTTTATATGCATTCATCAACGCAGAGCTCCTATCCAAGAGGAATTTTCTCCATAACCTCCGCTTTTTATTCACTTCCTTTTTTAAAGCTTGCGTCAGCCACGGGGGTCTGCTGTTCAGTTTCTTCCGTGAAATAGGGCAGTCGTATCTGAGAAGAAATTGCAATAACTTACTAAACCATTCAGAATCCTTAATTATGTCACCAGAAAAAGCTGATTCCCAGTTTATGGTGGTTAGTTCAGCTTTCATTTTAGCAAAGTCACCGCGCCAAATGTGCCTTCTAACCGTGGTGGCTTCTTCGGGCAGAGAAAAATGGAGTACTCCCACAACAGTACGACGTGGTCGCTTCGACCTATGGGAGGTAGACATTGCACCTCATCAATGCTGTCCAGTGACTTCAAAAGGAGCAGATCTATTCAGTCTGGCTGTTGCCGTTCGCGCACCCTCGTCGGAAAAGAGACGTGCTGAGTGAGAAATAACCTGAGGGTCATGTCCAGCAAACGTCGGTCGAAAGCATGGTGCGGACCAGATGCATAGGCTGAACTCCAGTCAATAAGAGGTGCGTTGAAGTCCCCATGGTTAAGACTTCGGACCGGATAGAGAATCTCTCCAGGCCCTCAATCGAACGGACGTCCGGCGTGGGATTATTTCTCGGCGGTCGGTAGGCCGTCAGGAGATCAAGGCTCGGGGAACCCGGTGCTTTTATAGTTAGACAAATTGCCTCAGAAGTACACTTAAGTTTATCTGTTTTGTCTGAGACAATAAGCCCGCGTTTTACATGCGTGAGTACGCCTCCGCCCTGACGCCCTCACGGTTGTCCACCTGCTGGTTCAGCCAAGTTTCTGTAAGTGATATTATATCCGGGGATAGATCAGACAGATGGATCTTTCGCTCGTCGACTTCCCATAACATGCTCTGTACATTTGTATATAGGAATTTCAGTTTGCTATTTATAGCTGTCAGAGAAGTAGTTTCGATTCGCTGGTGTCACCAATGAGGACACTCTTGCCGACCTCCAGAACAATATTCTCACTGCAACCCTCACCAACAATGTGGGCTTAACTCAAACCTGTTACCACTGCGATAGCACTTTCTCATCACTCAAAGGTCTAGTCGATCACTTGCTAATCTATCGCAGTGCATGTGAACTTGACATACACGCACCCGTCGTACGTGCATGATTCATTACCCCATCGAGTACGTTAGCTCGCGGCGAGCTCGCTTGCTATTAGGGCATGCACCCTCTGCTTATAATGTCCCAAGATATTCAGACGCCAACTGGGCATAAATGGTTATTTGACGGGAAATTCATCGAAATGTTAGCATGACGAATCTGACCCCTACACTTAGAGACTCCTTTACCACAAGCATCACCATCGATAATAACGTCGCCACGCCACCACCAGCTCAGCAACCACAGTCCTATCCTATGGCCACTGCCACCGCATGTTTGCATCACTTATCAACCTGCTACGGCACTCGCGAATCCATGGCACTGAGGGAGGCGTTCCAGTGCCAAGCACCCCGCCGCAACCGTCTCATCTGCCAACACTGCCCAAAGATATTTCATCATTTCACGAATCTTTTTAGTCGTAGGTACTTTCATGAAAACATGCAGTTGATGACCAGAGACGTTACGCTTCCAACACATCTCGTTCCACCAGTCTAGGTGCCACACTCCCATCCCCTAACAATACCTAAGACACATGGACAGAGCATTCGACGCTCATGTCGGAGCAAAGTATGCCCTTTGCCGCAACCTGGTGTCTGACCGGGTCACGTATGGCACATGTAGATAGACTGTTCAAGCTGTCAGTTACTGCGCTTAGTCCCAAATCCAGATGACTGATCGGATCAGACGGTGGGATTTGCATGTGAGAAGGAAGAGGGAGTAAGCTGCGCACCGGAGAATCTGCGTCCGCGGCATCAAAGCAATACAATAATTATGGTAGTCTGATTATATCATGATGCGCTAAGGGTCGTGGCTTGAATTGATACCAGTCAAATCGACAACTCGGTTGTCAAGGTCAGTACTGTGTGTACGTGGGGTGCCTGGATCGATAACTTGGAGACAGACTCAGTGGTTCCTTCGTGATACGGCTCCAGTAGCACCCTAACGAACGTGAAATCGAAGCTCCCGTTTCTGTGAAAGCCAGATACATGTTCCTCAGACAAGGTCGTACGTAACACGCGTAAACTGGTCAGTCAGCTCTGCCAACAAATGCGTCCGTGTCCGCCTACTATCACCTTGACATCGCCTGGCCATCGGAGAACGGTAGATGGAGAGAAGAGGTTCCTGTAGACGCAGTGCAAGCCAGCCTCCCTGTAAACTACTTCGCCCGCAAATCACCTGTGCGCAGCTCTCGACGGCCGGCCTCTCGTTCACATCAAAACAGGCGTTCTAAGATAAAACATAGAAATAGGAACCACCACTGTAGCACTGGTGATTATGGACTAGATCCGGGAAGGATACTTACCACCGTCTCCTAACACTAATCCTCGCCCAAGTCCTAAACTTAACCGAATCCCTAACCTCAACCCTAACTCTAAACTTAAATTCAACTTGAACGCAGATCCTAACACCGACCCCGTCCTTTATTTCTCAGGACTACAGCATATGACCCTCTATATTGCGGGATTTATTCCTTTACCCTACATTTTCACTATTTAATTAATTTAAAACTGCACCGACACTATCAGGTGGACGTCAGATAATGTTGTGAACATGTTTCAAGATACCTAAACCGAAGACAGAGAAATGACATAAGACTAATAAGCCTATTGTTTCGGCAATCGCGTCCTTATCTTCTTTGGTCGCCCTGTTTGGACAAGATATGGCGGAGGCTGAAGTACAATCGAGCTCGAAAATCAAAATGGTCATGGTTGCTTAGCCGTTTGGACTGTTCAACGGATACTCTAGCGGTCAGATGTAGTCGCCTTGCTTTATCAGACGCCTTTATATCACGAGTAGATAAAGCAGTAGACGCCATTATCGCCAATAAGTCAGTTTATTAAGGGAATACTGACTTTTGCCCTAGAGCTCCTTGTTCATATCTATAAACAGAAATAGAATCACTTGCTACATCAGTAACTTTGGAAATTCAAGTCAACGGTAAGTGCGAGCCTAGCGCTAACTGCCGCCGCTAAGACAGTCATGATTATAGGTAAAGTAGTTTCTCAGCAAATGAGCGTCTTGTCTGTACTCAAAGGATTCAACAGTTTCGGAAAGAACCACCGCATCAGGGAGTCCGTCCCATGCCCCAATGACCCTCTGCGAGAAGGCGTTCCGTCGGACGTCAGTATGGGTCGGATTCCTCTGCAGTTTAAAGGGGTTGTAGTGACCGAGGACGTCAAGGGTTGCACACACCCAGGTAGCGAAGCGCTGGAAAGAGATCCTGGCCAAAGTTGATCTGAATAGGGTTGTCAGATAGACACGATACTCATCGACACATAAAGGATGAAGAAACGTCAAATGAGCCAGAAGGTATAATGAACAGAGATGGAAATTGAAAAGGCGTATAATAATAGTGAATAGTACAGGCAGAACGAGTTACAACTGTGGAGCGCCTGTCTGGATGGGTAGGCGATTCCGACTTTCTAGCTAATTAACCGGTGGGGAGCGCACCGTTGTGAGCAACTGCAGGGAAGGGCCGAGGGAGGTGCTGACGAAGAAAGATGGCGAGCGATACGCGCGTCATGGTACGTTACGGAAAAAAGGGTCGGCGGAAGTGAGTGGAAGGGACACCCGTCATCTTCACCAGCACGCGGCTACGCCATCTCCATCCTAGGTCCACACGTCAAAAAAGTGTTTTCTCTTTCAAACAGCCCCATCAAATTCGTGGGAGGTTACATCGTGATAACGCAGACGGTTAGTCCCGGCCAATTTAAAGAATTCGTCAAAATTTAGGGCGCACTCGCGGCCTCAGGAAATCCGGTAATTTTGCATGAGGTCGCCGCGCAGTTGCCTGTAATTGAGAGGAAACAAATTTCGTTCAGCCGCTCACAGGCACTGCCGCACTCACGGATCTGCTTCAAAGACGCAAAAAATTTAAATGCTTTCTCGAGATTAACTGTCTGCAATCTGCAAGGCGGAATTTACAGCCGGTAATTACTATTGTTTAACGCAATCGCAATAGTCAAGGTTTGTTTATACTTTCTGGCGGAATTTAAAATAATTGGTAGATGAACGAGAACGAAGATTTCAACGACGAATGTTTAAGAGAGCATAATCGAGTCAGAAGAAATCATAATGTTAAGCCTTTACGCCACAGTCACGCACTTGATCGAACAGCTCAGGAATGGGCAGAGAATTTACTGAAAAAAGACGTTGTAACAAATAGCCCTTTGTCCAGCCGCGGCGAACTTGGTGAAAGCATCAGTAAAAGGACAAGTACAAACGATTCAGTCGATATTTCGGGTAAACTGTTTTCCAAATAGCCGACTTAACTCTTTGCAGGAGCGGAGGTCGTTGCTCAGTGGTATAACGACATACAAAGTTACAATTTTGAGACTGGGGCCGGTGCTGCAGGTTAATAAATCTTATAGTGGTTTGTCATGGTTAAAGTATTTGCTTATTTTAATTAGACCGCGTTTACAAATTAATCTGTAGATTAATTGACACACGTTCGGTTATTTGATGACGGTCATCACACGGTCATATCCCGAGCAAAGACTGTAATGTGCATAGTTAGGCTGATTCAAATAATTGACCTTAAAGTTATGACTGAAATAATAATTTAATTAGGCGGGATTGGTGGCATGCTCCTACTGTAGTCAATCCGGAAGCCACTTGTAGAATGTGTGTCAAAAGGGACGCAGATTGTGTTTCGCGAAGATGATTAGATGCGCCTTGCCTTTATAAGAAAAAAGACAAAATTAGCATTAATCGTTAAACCTAGGTTTTCCGTATCACTTGCAAAGAAAAAGCGTTTCTATGGGTGCTTTATTTCCTTGATAATGTAAATGGTCACCATAATCTTCTCTGATTGCTAAGTGCAACGTTAATCAGTTGGTCGCTGTCTGATTTCGAGGATTTACAGAGCCCCTTGTATTGAGCCTTTGCTAAGAAAGTTATTAGACAGATTTCTGCCTTATTTTTGATACCTAGATAAATAAATTGGTTTTTGAAGAGGCAGGAAAACCCTGGCATGCTTACATTTCCCAAGCCTATTGAAGAGCTCTTTGACAGTCGTATTCTGCATGAGTATGAGCGTCAATAAATATTTGCTACAATATTCGCACATCTTACAACAGCGTTCACAGCGGTCCTAATACATTTTGCATGTGTTAAATCAGTTTCAAATGTGTTTATGTTGTAAAAGTGCATTTTCTTTAGGAAATTTTACACAGATGGTTTGGGCTCGCACTCGTGAAGTCGGTTTTGGAAAAGCAAGCGCAAGGGGACAGTGTGTTGTTGTTGCTCATTATCGCCCACCTGGAAATATTCGAGGCCGATACCTTGAAAATATTTATCCGCCCATAAGCGCTGAAGAACTTCAACCAAAACAGTCAAATATGGGTGAAAAAGGTACGTCCTTGATATTAAGTTTAAGCAAGGGTCATATTAATACTCATATATGTGACATCAAAGGTCTCGTATTTCACGGGTTTATGCTGTGTTTCTTTCCATTCCGACGCTCATTTCGACGCATCCTTAAGGTTTCACGTGCATCTACAAAGCCGTAGATACGTCCGGTTTGACAGATGATTCCAAAAATACAACAAATCCGAAAAATACATATCAAAGCGCTCATAAAAACAGTCCTTGACCACTAATCCAAAGCAAGTTAATTAACCAAATATTTTTAATAGCCAATTGATAATTTTTCGTATATATGCCACTGATCTTTTTAGTCGCGTTTTTGTCAGTTCGCAAAATTCTTCGGAATTCTGATGGGGAGACTTGCCCTTCGGGGAACAAATTACTGATTTAAATTAAGGATTTGACTTTACGCTCCCTTAGTAGTTGCTTCTGAGATTTTTTATAAGCTGGATTTTATCCCATTTGTACATTCCGGAGAAAAAAGTACAGTTACTGTATGCTAACTATTTTTTGCTTAGATTCAAAGGAAGTCTGGAAAAAGACGTTTACTGAGCGAGAGGTTGATGCAAAAGGCAATCATTTTGATGTCAAAAAGGAGGTAGTTGAAACAAAGGACAAAGAAGGAAACGTAAGTGAGAACTTGGATTTCATCGTATTTTATCCCTTACCCTATATCAAACAAAGCCTCGCTTTCGTAAAACCTCAAATACTCCTGTTATGCGTTTAAAAACTTGCGCATAATTTTGCTAGATTGTCAAAGGCTGTAAAATATAGAGGACCAATCTTCGTTGCAAACGAGTTGCTCAAGTCAATAGCGCGGCGAATTTGTCATGCGGGTGTATTTTTGCTTTCAAACGAGTGCGACGTATGTATTTTACTTCATTTTACCGTTTTACTTACCACACATATCTCGATAACTCTTTTGCGAAATTTACAGATACATCGACGAGTTGTCAGTAGTTACACGAATTGTGATCCATTTTCAATGAATACTTCAGAAGCCACGAAACCAACCAGTCCGAGTGAAAGAATCGTAAGTTTTTGCAACTATTTGCAGTGTAAGTTATTCTAGCGACCAAAGCCAATTTTGGAAATAAAACGATGGTGCTTTTATGACGAAACGCTACTTAGCATAGGAAAAGGTCATTTTAATGGTCCGATGGATCTTTTTATTTGTGAGTGACTAGTGTTTTTTCGCGGATTTCATAAAAAGGATATCGCGAAAGGTATTCTTTTATGGACCATAAAAGGGACTTTTTCTCACATGTACGACATTTTGATTGTCGCTTTTAGTTGTATTCAACAGCAACGGCAGCAGCACCACCTCTGTCATCAATCAAACACGAGGAGTTTGTGCAAGAAATTGTGGCAACCCATAACTGGTATAGAGAAAAGCACGGATCCCCAGACCTCGTCCTGAGTTCGGTAGGTTAACAGTCTGCGTCATGTTTCCTCAATGCCGGAGCACATAAAAGTCGTTTAACCAGCGTACTAAGTTTTCTCATAATAAGAGTCAGAGAAATTTTGGACTTTTGTGACAACTACACGTGTGCTCTGTAAGAGTGCGCAGTGTGTGCGTGTGTGTGTGTGCTAAATGTGCGCCTCTCATGAAGGGCGTGGTGCAATTTACGTGTCTGCGCGGGCTAGCGCGAATTGTTGTTGTTCCTAGTAAGTCGGAGGGTGCCACTGTCGCGCCTTGACATACAGGACGTCGTTGTTTAGGTCCCGCGAGTGTGAAAATAGAACAAATACTTCCTGGTGATCAAACGCGCCTCTAGACCCCAAAAAATTGCAGGTGCACGTCAACTGCAATGACCTGCAGTATTGAAAGAGAGCGCCAGTCAGGACGCAGAAGCAAAGAAACTGGCGATTACGAAGCCACCGAGTTACAGTCTCGGATAACTGAACAGCGGCCTAGTGAGCAGTTGCAAGTTTTAAATTTCAGAGGGCTTCTGGGACTATTTTACTGAAATACTTGCGCACCAAATCAGTACTGTGCTCTGCCCTCGTTCATCTCTACAATGCACCCCCTCTCCTTCAAATGCCAGCGAACAAGTTTTGAACCGGTCGTCGTACGCTTCAACCTATTGGCTCAGGACGACTATTTGAACTGGCTGCAGAACATCACACTTAGGTTGCCTGAACTCTCAAATTATTATATCTGTAGTTCGCCTGTCTGCTGCATATTGCGGAAGGTAATGGACTTACATGGTTTATTTACTTTTAAGTAACTGGGTCCCAGACTATCGTTTTATTGCCAGCGAGAGGACGTATGGTTAACCCTAGCGTCCAGGCTCTGGCTTGTCTACTGGAAAATTTGACAGGGTGAGATAGGAGAAGAGCGTTAACCGACCTCTAGCGTGTGTGAACACATATGTTGGTGGGGGCTCAGAGAATAAGGTTTGGGATCGGTAGTAATAGGTTGTGGCTACATATGTCGCATCACAGGGAGTATAGACAAGTACTTGAAGGTCTGCTGCTCAGAAGAGATTGAACCGTCTACCTCGCACGCACTGACCGTCAGGATAGGTGCATGCACTAAGAAATATCGTGGTACTTTGTTGATAGTCAGTCTTTTCATGACCATAGTGCGCACTCATGGCGCGCAACTTCGGTCGAATACATGACAAGTTGGGCCCGTGCCTGATTTAAAATAATTATCCTCACAGTCCAATTACTGCTGACAGTACCTGGCAAATCGCACGACTAAATGTTTATTGGGTCCCCCAGGGTCGAATGCAGGCCGAGTCAAAGTCTTGTGTTTCCCTACAGGAACCAGTTAGACTTTACACTTCCACTTCCATCTATAGCTCATCCTTTTGAAGATAAGGTAAAGTGGTTTACGGAAAGGTAACAGTCAACTTTTTAAAACATTTTCAAGCAACATCACTTAATTTTGGAAAAGGTTGAAGAGCCAAAGCTCGCCACAGCCGTAAGAGTAAGGGCATCCTGCGTAAAGGTAGATCCAACAGTTTTTAACAATCGCCAGTTTTTGGTTGTTATAATCAAAGCTGGCGTCCCATATCAGTGAATGTTTCCACTGAGAACGGTTAAAGGGTCGGTGGACGGAGAACGCATCTCTCACCAGGAGAAGTGTTTCGGTGTGGACCTCAGAAAGGTAGGTCCAGCGCGGTATAAACTGAACAGTCTGGAAACGGAACAGGAGGTCGCTTTTGACTTAATTTTTGTCTTATTCCAAAGAAGAGTTGTTTTATGAATAAGCAGAACCTGGGCAAGACTAGTTTTATTTGTCTGCCTATCAAAACCTGTCGTTTAGAGAGGTTTAATTCACTACAGACCACATAAAACCTATATTTTAGACAGGAACTAATGATATTTTGCACCCATTTGGACAGTAAAACAAAAATTCACTCACTTTTATGTATGTATATGGCTAAAAAGCATAATGGCGGGACTTTTGCGCAATGATCAGAAATGCATTTCGTCGCCACATATATTGACGGAAATTTACACATAGAAAGTAGGTCTTTTACATTATAAAGCAAAATCCGTGATGGTTTGTTTTAGCGCCTTTCTAAAATGGCTCAAGAATGGGCGGATTACCTTGTGGACGAGATCTGCCTTTCCAACAGCGGATTTACATTAGACGGCGTGCGTCTTGGCGAGAACATAAGCAGTCGATGGTCAAACGGAACATTCGATGAAAGCGGTAGGCGAAACAACTTTCAAATTAGATTTCAAGTGTTTTTGGGGAAAAGTTACGTAAAATCTATTGCCCACTACAGCGAAATGTGAATTTATGTCGAAGCATATAGCTGAACCATCATTCCTTAATGGCATAAAAACAACTGGACCTGTACATCTGAGCTTTCTTACACGGGCATCCATACGAAACTGAAAGTAAGCAACTGCAGCATTCAGGATAATTTCCTTGTCCTAGGTGAGTAAGAATAATAAACGTTCAAAATGATATAATTTAAGGTGAGGTAGAATTATTCAGTTAATATATTCCGGAGGACAACTTCTCTCTTATAGAATGTTAAAGCAATTTCCAAAGTCGTAAAATGTAAATACGAAACATGCTAGTGTCTCTGCAATCGAAATTCTACACAGTTTATAATTTAATACACCCCTTAATTTTTCGGTTAATGTTTCCAAAAGAGTTTATCGTTTAAAAGAAACGTAGAGGAGGTAAATGTCCCGGTCACGAAACATTGGCTTATTTTAAAACCGATGGCTTTCGTTTCAATCGCAAATAAATGCCAGTTTACAAGAGTAAATGTACTCACCTTAGGGAGCAAAAGGTTAACTGCTGTTCTAGAAAGGCCTTTTTGTTCTGGAGAAAATTTGCGATCTAAACTACTTTAAAAACCTCTCCAAGCCCTGGCCGAGGTAACAATTGTTTTACACTTGCAAAAGACTTCATTATCTCTTTAAAGCGTTGCATGGGAATTTCAATGATATGCGTTTGAAGCGTCCCAACGCACTATTCTGCAAATTTGAAGTGGTATCGTGTAGTACGACGTTTCGTGGCAAAACTCTCTCAGAAAATGCTAATTTGCGGGCATTTTGAAAATTGGGCGATGTTATTTAAGGCTACGGAAGAAACTGTTTAGGTACCGATGGTCGTTCCAAAGAGGAAGACAAAGAAAAAACACGAACCTGCAGAAAATGGAAAGAATTATTTCACTGGAGCATTCTTTGCCAATGATATGGAAGAATAAATGAAGATGTTTGAAAACACAGGATGAGCTTATTTTAGAAAAAGCGAACAAGAAATGATATCTTATTACATCTGCGTAAAAGGTAGAAAAACTTGCTTAGCGAAGAGACATACGACGATATAAACCACCTATTTTGTACGTGCTCACAGGTTTTAAGAATGGTCGACCACCTCAATACAAGCAAAAATGCCCTTCCTAGAGTGCGGCTTAGAAAGAGGAGACGTAGTCCATAGAGTAGGGGTTTTGTTCAACCGGCAGTATTTAGGGCACGTAGTTACTATGGTACTGCATACCATCCGAACTTGGCGGCTCGGATTCTGGAACTTCAAGCGAATGCATATCTTGTTCCAGCGATTGCGGTCCTTCTTCGCAGTCCACGTTCTCCCTTTGTATCGTTGCAGTCAGACTTTTTCTGAATAAAGATAATTTTTTTTTAAATTGCGAAGACATTACCAACGAAGACAAGAAAGACTGGAGTGGACATTTTTGGCTTATTTACTGCCGTCAGCCGGTCATTTCCAATCCCGAGGTGTGTAACAACTGGAACTCGATTCCGCGGCCTGTTCGTTAGGAGTCCAAGGCACCTAACCACTGGGCCGCGAACTCGTTGTGTTGTCAGTTGCGATCGAGTATACATAAAATGGTAGAATTGCGTTCACAGATCGCGCGACGAAACTCGTCCCGTCATGCCTTGATGCTCCCTCTCGAGCCCGCCAGCAGCCGCTAAGCGGGCGTGATATAGGAAAAATAACATTACCGACAACGACAAAAGGCCGCTGGCGGGGATCGAGAGGTGACCTCAAGGCGTAACGGGACGCCTGAATTCGGTAGCGCGATCGGTGAGTGCTCTTCTACCATGATCCTAGTAAGCGCATACGATCACCAGCCGTGTTCGATAACCTGTTTGAAGACCTCCCCAAATTTCCAATACTATTTAAACGTTTGCTCGTATTCAGTTTACCTGGAAACTATAGATTATATCATGTTCGTACTGACTCCCAAAACTGCTTACAGAAGTTATTCACAGACAAAGCCATGTTCTCTTTACTTTGCTTATCGCGTCTAAAGCCAGCAGAGATACTCATCGTGGGACTTCTGGGGCTTTAGTCTGCTCTAGACAGTTTGCAGAGGGTCATGTAGTGTGTATCCAGTATATATAAATGTTAACGTGCACGAACGTGTTGCCAGCGTTCTACGTTGACAGAGTGTAAAAGCATGGCATTGTATAGTGTTACGCGGGTAATAGTTTTGGGGCGTAAGCTAAAGGATGAATGTGCTTTTGGAAAGATATATAGCCGAAAATATAGTTTCTTCTGATTAATTTAAGTTTTTTGTCATATTTTCTGCGATTTCAAAGTATTCCATATTAGTTTTAACAAATGTAATCATAAACATTAGTCGGCATCAAGAATAAACTGCTAAGTGAGATATTGCGATAAAGAGACGGCATCGCTTTTTCCTTGACAGATATATGTCTAGCTTCACAGACTATGGGCAAAGACTGTTTTTTTCCTTTAATGTTAGACGATAATTTGTAATCGATGGTTTTGGGTCTTGTAAGGTAGTTGAAAGGCGCATTGTGATTATCACTAATTATCTTTTTCTATGAAATGCTACTCCATTTTGAAAATTCGGGAAAGCGATTTTGTTCGCCTTGAGTATCGATATTAAATACCAAGTAGCGCCTTTATCCGATTTCACTTCTTAACCGTTTTCATCGTCCGTTGACAACTGCGATCGTTCTTGCACGAGTGATGCCAAATAAAGTTAATTTCAGAGTATTAAATGGACCACAATTTCAGTGGCCAATCTTTTTACTGGTATCGACGAGAACGATTACACCTGAGATGAAGCTGATCTGTTTTAAATAATGAACAAAGCAGACCAATAAGGCATGCGAGTGACACTCAAATTCTGCAGATTGTTCTCTGAAAAGCCCCAAATATGGCAAATGGACGCAAATATTCAGAAAAACTACCCATGGACTTTTAGTTTACCTCAAAAGAAGACAGAAACTTCAAATTTGTGAGAATATCGCAGAAGCAGACTATTTTTATTTTCAAACTACGGATAAAATAACCACTCTGGTCGAATACGAAAGGGGGACGTTGAGTGTAAGAGAGCTGTCAATAGATGCACAGGTTTTGGAGACAATTTAGTATGCGAGACCCATAAATCTCGTTCGGATAGAGAAGCATATGCGGGCATGTTAAGATACATGATCATCTTTTATAACTCCAGTACAAGAATTCTGCTATTGCTGTTTGCGTGATTTCCTGACGAATGTGAGTTTAGAATATCTTTTTACAGCAAAGGACGTCGTAGACAACTGGTACCAGGAAGCAACTCGTTTCAAATACGGAACAGAACCAACAAGCATTCAGGGAATCGGTAAGTCGACGGAGTCAGTGTTGCAGTTTTTCACTAGCATGGACTACGCTTTTTGCTTTGGCTTTGTTGTAGAAAGGTGTAATTTGAAGGTGAAGTAGTTTTAAGAGCTGCAAAAATTTCCATGGAAGGTTCCAGCAAGCCAGTTGGCGAGAATACACATGCTTTCGGCAAATTGTCGTCGGGCTAGTGCATTTATATGGAATGAAATAAAAACAAAACATGTGAGATAAAAGAAGTCAATTACAGTCTGTCTTGCCATATGCTTGTGTTGTAGGAACATGAGGAGGAAGGAAAAAGAGACGATGAGTTAGGGAGCAGCGAAAGTTAGAGTGACGAGGGAGAGGACGCGAGGGGCACACGCAGTTAACCGCCCTTTGGTTACGGTAGGCGTAAAATTTGTGCGTTTTAAAACGTAGTAGAAACAATTCGCAAAGTTGGCTAATTGCACTTAGTCTTCGCGGCTTTTAACTTTGTAAGGACTGATTTGAAAATGCAGTCGCATTTCGAAATTATTTGTGGCCTAATCGAATCAGTAATGGTGAGAGGTCATAGAGATATTGTAAATAATATGACAAGGAGCAGGAAATAAAGCATCAAACTAAACGAAAGTGCATTACAGCAGTGCATAGCTGAGTTTGACAGGAAACCATATAACCACACATTTCCGCTGAAAACTTTGTCTACTATGACAGTGGACGCTGGCCGATCAGGTTACGGAACATGCTCGTTCCGTTGTGCCTTGGGGCTCATACTAGAACCCTCGCAGGCAGTCGCACAGCGACTAGTAGTAGACATAGATGAGATGGAGCCGACAAAGACAAGGGAGACCGGAATGGCCATTTCTGGCTTATTAGCCGTCATCAGCCAGTCTACTGTTTTGCACAGCTGGCATGCGTTGCTTCCTTAAATCGGGGAATAAGCACCCAGTGAGAGAACAGAAGTCGAAAATTCGATCCAACTAGGATCCTATGATTTTGAGCCGAGTTACACCTCTCCTTCCCACCGTCTGATACAACAAGGGTATTGATCGCTACCAACATAATGTCTCAAAACGTTAATTGGCAGTGCCAGTTTTGCAAAATGCGTCCAGTTAGGGGACAGCTAAACACTTGCTTTTAAAATTTTTCTTTGAGAAGTCGCTGTCTCACTTTAACTGCGTGGCGAAATTAGAATATACTCTTTGTATCTACTGGGAGAATGAGCTACACATTTAAATTTTAATGCAAGTTGCTGAGAGCCAACATTCAGCACTTCACTGATCGTATACT